TGGGATCTGCATAGAACTGAAATAGGCGTGTGTATAATTAACCAACTCTCATCATCTTAACAAACTAATCACTTAAATCTGACAATTAACTCTCACCCTCATGCCAGGAATAAGATCATGCATTTATTACTAAATTCGTTTGCTCACAACTTCTCTACAGGTTGCTCTCGACTCTTGTAGAGCGACTATGTTCTTCTAAAGCTAGGTATGGATGATCTGATACAGCACTCTCGTGGCTCTGATGGATCCTAAGCTCAGAGAATAGGTCATGAATATACTCTCATGCAGTATAAACAACTTAAAAGAGATGAGATCCAGAATATGGTTAATAAACTTAGAAATCCTAATCGAACTTGTATACCTATCGCTTTTTAGAAACTTGACTCTCTAGGACAAATCTACATGATGCAGGAAATGATAAAAGACATAAAATATGCAGAAGAATGAAATGGAAAAGCTAATTAGATAAATAAGAGAAAGAACAATGGATCCAGGGAAGAATCTCCTTCTCCATCTCCTAACCCTATAAAACAAAGTTTGCTGGCTCAAAAACTCATTACAGGAGCACACACCCAATTAGGACTGTTAAGAAATGTATTTATAGGTCATAAGGTCTTCCAGATTTCATTTAAGGCTTCTCTTAAGAGGAATGATGAAATAGGCTTTGATGTTGGGCCTTGTGGCTCGGCATAGGTCCACCGGGGGTGAGAGTCTTCCAGGGCAGGAAAAACGCTTGTTTGCCATGGGTGAGAGTATTCCGGGACTGATGAATTTGGTGAACTTGCTATTCGCATAACTTTTGATTTCACTGTTGGATTGTCATGATGTAAAGTCCTATGGAAATCTTGTTGTCTCCTCTTCAATGTCTCCACATTTGAGCTGGATCAGATGGTGAGAAGGCTGAACTTCTGACGCTCTGACTCTGAGCTAAAAATGTGGATTTCTTCCATTTTGCCATCTTCTTCCCTAAGTTTCTTGAAAAGAGCCTTGAAACTACAAACATAGAGAAATCATAATAAAAAGTTCCTAAAACTGATTAAAACAATTGAAAAAGCATTTGAAATCAATGGTGAAAATGGGTACAAATACGGTGTTATCAACTCCTCCAGACTTAGACTTTTGTTATTCCTCAAACAAAACAATGTCCCATCTGGAAAAATATCATCAACATAAATCATAGGGAACTCAAAAATATCAGTAACCTTACTTCTAGACCTTAATTAGGGACAATGCATCAATCAGATTAAGTCTAGAAAATTCTCACCAAAATACAAACATAACTAATCTGTTAATTCGTAATGCGAAAATCCACACACTTAGAACTAACTTCCAGTAAAGTAGCTCTTAACATTCATTAACGGTTTCAGTGATTCTCATCAAAAGAATTTTAAACAAGGCATTCAAGGCTAGGTATGCAGGGGCTTTTCAATAGTGAGGTTTGATGTGTTTAGGGTTACCTTTTTCTGAAGAGACAATATATTATGCAAAACAACAAGAGAGAATGGAGTTGTTGGTATCCACAGTTTTCAGTAACAATGTTCTTGCTTCAAGATTTCTGATCTCTTTTCTTTAGGTTCTCCTTATAACTCCCCTAGACTTGGATTTTTGTCTAGGTTGTGAAATCATAACTCCATTGATAAATACTTGTAGCCTTGGCTCAAATGATTTCGGCTTCTAAGACTCTTTAGGCTTTTTTCTTTCTTTTCCTTTCATTCATTTTCTCCTTTTTCGTTTCTTTTTTTTTTTTTTGGAAAGGGGAAACAGCTTTTTGACTTAGAGTCTTAGGAAGCACGAAAAATTACCTTTAAGAGTGAGCTTTGTGAGGCATCGTGAGGCTTAATAAGATTGCTTGGTATACTTCCTTCACGGTTTCATTCAGTCCTTGTCTTGAGTGACTGAAAACTATGTTGTTCCTCCCTCTCTGCCGTTTTCGCACATATTTGCCGATATAAACTTACGGGATAATGCATGAGGTTCGAACATAAATGTTTGGGTTAAGGGTGTGGTACCAGCTAAAGATGAACTGGCCATCTAGGACAACAAAGAGTGGTAACAATAAACTAAAGATGTCCTAGATGTATATCATGATGCCTTCCTAAAACCATTGATGAGAAAATTAGATGTCAAGATTAGATCCAAGTAAAATGAGCTAGTATATCCTGTCAGAAAAGATCGCCATGAATAAAAGTCATCTGGTGGGATTTTGTAGTGTAGGTACTCTAGCTACCGCCTAGTCTAGTACTAAACCTTGAAAGAGCTTTTTTATGAACGAATGGTGTAGAAGCAAACAGGTTGGTTATCATCATCGATTTGTCATTATTCCCTCAAAACGTATTTAACCGTTGAAAACACTTTTGGAAACTCAAAAGACTTTTAAAAATTTTTAAGTAAACCAAAAAAAAAAAAAAATTTAAAGAAAAATGCAGAATGCAGAGGCTCATTCAAGAAAAGGTGGTCACTAAGAGATGGAATCCTCCCCCAGACTTATATCACACTGTCCCCAGTGTGATATAAATCAGGTAAGGATGAGAAATAGAGTATGTAAGAATTGAGAATATAAAGGAAAAGAAAAATTACCTGGTGTTGGTGATAGGATAGTGAATGATGGATGGTGCTTGATGTGGAGTGGTGCTTGATCAAATGGGGGCTGATTTGAATCAAGGTGGAGGTGGAAATGGCCACGGGTGGCCGAACCCAGCTTGGCTACGGGCCAAGTTGTCGCGGCTGCGGTAAAGCTTCTTCTGGCCGTGACTGAACCTTCCTCAGCTGCGGTAAACTCCTTCTGGCCGCAAGGTTCCTTGGCCGCGGTCACGTCCTTTTCTAGATAGGTTGCCTCTTATCAAGCGCTTTTGTTTATAGTCTTTAGCTAGACTTTGCAAAGAAAGACACTTAGTTCAAATAAGATCTTTTCCTAAGACAAATCTTTTTCAAAATCCTCTTATTTTCTCTGGTAGGTTCTTCATTACTCCAGAGTTCTTCTGGTTCGAATGCTTGTGCTTTATGCTTTGCTCCTGTGCTCTTAAGTCGTGTAGCTTCATAGAAGATGTGCTTGTTGACGTTTGCAAAAGAAACTCTCCGGCTGGGCCAATCCATGATGGTTCCAGCAGTTGCTAAGTAAGGCATCCAAGGATAACTATATATAAGTCATCTTTGGTCTTCACTATGGATAACTATATATAAGTCATCTTTGATCTTCACTATGTAGAGATCGACAGGTGCTAGGCAATCTCCAATCCTTAGAAGAATGTCTCGGGCTATCCCTATTGGAGTTGCACTTGAATCATCTGCTAAGCTAATCTTTGTCCTGGTACTTGAAATGTGTTTAATGCCAAGTCTCAAACCAGTAGCTTTGGACATCATGTTAATGCAAGCTCCATAATCACAAAGAACATTGAGAAATCTTTCACCTTTAATGTCACAAGAGATAAAAAATTGAACTTTGTCTTGAACTTTGTGCAGGGTTCGAACTGGTCTACCTACTAGGGCGTGTGTGAACAAGTCTTTCATATCTTGGATAGACTCTTTGCTGTCACAGAAGAAGTGGCCGATCATGTGCCCACTACATGCTTTGGCAAACGAAATTCCTTTGGGCAATCTCTGAACTACTTGATTGAACTCTTCAAGTTTTTCTTTGCTGATTTTGTTTGTGTAATCACTGGCTTCTTGTGGGTCTTTGAGATGGATCCTGTAGATAGCTGGTGAGAATCTAGGAAAAGATAAGTACCTGGCTCTTCTGATGTATAGATGTTCTCCTTAGTTTCCTTGCTGTATCTGAAGAAAACTTGAAGGCAGGCTTGCTTCCAAATATCATATAATCCATGGTAGAGAGGAATGGACTTCAAAAATTTGTTGAATTTGATTAGTCTCTCTCTAGATATGCTCTTGGTTATTGGTTCTGAATTGCTACTAGATGAATTTTCTCCAGGGTTTGCATCTTCAACAAAAAAATCATACTCTTCATCTTCTGAAAACTGCTCTTGAAGCTCATTTTCACAAGTGTAAACCATGTTGCAAGGTGCATAAGTCTTGGATT